AAATAATACGCTTTAAAAGCAGCAATAGCACCTTGATCCATGGGTTCGATGATAGAGGTAGTATTAGGTGCAGGCCGTCCAGGTGTGGTGGGTGTCCCGGAGCATTATCTAAAATTAATAAAATCTTGAATGCAACCCCTTGTTGCAGACAATACTCCTTGGCTCGTGGAATGAAACAACTCAGGAACCAATCCTCACACAGTGCTAGGGTCATCCATGCTTTCTTATTACTATGATAAAACACTGGCAGTATGTGCTTGCTGACATTTTTAAAAGCCCTTGGGTTCTCTGAATGATATATCATGAAGGGTTTTACCTTGAAACCAGCTACATTCCCCCCAACAGAAGTGTGATTCGGTCCTTGAATGCCTTGAATCCCGGCATGGTTTTCGCCTCTTTGTGGATGTACAGTATGTCCGTTCTGGCTTGCACTTCCAGAATAAGCCAGTTTCATCCACATTAAATATTTGCTTAGACAAATAATTTCCCTCCACGATGACATGATCTAGCTCCTCCTTCAAAGCTTCGGCAGCACCCACATCAGCACTTGCTGCCTCTCCACTCACCTTTACACTGTGCAAACTGTAACGGCTCTTAAACCTTTGGAACCACCCATGACTTGCTGTGAAGTTTTGGTTGCACTCATCTTCTGCCTGCTCTTTCAGGCTTTCGAAAAGGCTTCTTGCCTTAGCCTGTATGGTGAGAAGGCTTAAGGGTACATGCTTTTGCAACTGATCTTCCATCCACATCACAAGTAATTTTTCTATCTCATGTATAGGACCTTATCTTTTTTTTTGTTATTATTGTTCCCTTTATAGGTGCTAATCCTTTCACTACCTCACAAATTCGTTCCTTGTCCTTCAAAATTGTTGATATTGTCGAGTGAGAGAAGCCTAGGTCACGTGAAATGGTTGCTACCGTTTTTCCATTTTCATATTGCATTATTATTTTCATTTTCATCTCAAAAGTAATTGACTGTCTCTTTTTCTTTTGAGCACCACCAGAACTCTCACTTTTACACTTGCCAGTCATTTTAAAGGGAATTAGAAACAAAAATTTTGTCAGTACACAGTGCGATCACTAACACCAACGACGGGCAAACACGGTTCTAGGGCTTAAATTCCTTACTATTTTTGTAAATATCAAGAAGTTTATACTATTCAATAATTTTAAAAGTTTAATATTCAATTTTTTAGTCATTTTAACAATTATTGAACAAAATTGAAGGTAAAGTGACTAGTTTAATGCGCGGCATCCAGCCTCTTAACACAGCAAACAGGCGTCAGTCTCTCTCTGTTTTCACTGGAGGTAACATCTTGCTTGAGACTCTCTTCAACTAAACGCTTTTTTTCTGTGTTTCCAAGCAAATTATTGGTCATTTTGAAATATATTTTATATATTGACAATATATAATGCAGTGCAGCGTTGATTTAAAGAAAATAATCTTGAATTAAACCAGAGAGCTAAAATTTTATGGGTGAAATGGCACCATGGGGTGACTTCTCTTCCACCCCAATGCCTTCTCTTCTTCCTTCTCCTCCACCCCCATTCTAAATCCCATCATCATCATCATCATCCAGGAGCCTTCTACATACACACCTCAAAGTAAGTGAACTTTTCTACCATTTTTGTTGAATTTAGGAAATTTTCGGTGAGCTGGAACCAATTACCCAAAAACCCATTGAAACAATGGTTTCGGTTAACGAACGTTTCGGTTAACGAACGACCTTCTGGAACGGATTGAGTTCGTTAACCGAGGGGCCACTGTACTGTATATGGGTGAAGGACTGGGCACGATGGGAGGGTTGTCTAAGGAATGGGCGCCCCCAACAATTATCTTGCACAGGGTCCCTCAGAAGCTAGAACCATTCCTGATTGTATGTTTAAGATAAAATACTTGATTCACCCATAAACACGACCGTATACTATACAGTAACAACCGTATGAAGTATTTCAATGTGTTTTTCTTTAAATACATTTGTACAGTTAGCTCCACTCCTGCATTTGCCACTTAGCATTGCCAATACTCCCTTTCCTTGAGGTGTGAATTCGAAGCATTCGCTTATGAGTGAGATGGAGAAGGGAAGGGTGTGTTGGGTAGGTGTCTTTCTGTGGAGGGAGGGGATGCTGGGAGTGAGGAGGGAAAGTGTATATCAGTTGGGAGAGATTACAATGCAGAATAACACTTTGACAAGAGACGGGTTTTTCTCAGCTGACTGTAATCGTCTAGAAGCAAATGTATTATGGATATGTTTGAATATACATCTTGTAGAAGCAGCAGTTTTGGTTACACACTTGACTACTTGATGGAACTTCCCCAGCTGAATAAAATCATCTAGCAGCAGCCATAATAAAATTGATAAGAAGACATCGTTTTGAAGGGATGAATTAGCAATCAAAACAACCAGGAAATGAGCACCACATATTTATTGTAATACAAACTTGATGTGAATAAAAATACTTCAGGTAGTAGCTGTCCAGTATAGAATCAGCAAAGCACATAGTTCACTGGGGCCAAACAGTGCAGTTAAATGGGTAAAAAGAAAAATTTCATTACAGTATTATTATTATTATTATGTATTATTATTATTATTATTATTATTATCATCATCATCATCATCATAAAATGTGCAAATTATAATGCAAAATGATATAGCTGTTGCTTTAAAGTCTTAATGATAAAGTTGCTGGTGGAATGTTTCGTGATTAGGGTGACGTGTATGGGAGTTATTTGTCTTAGCTGCTCATTCACATTATTAAGTGCTATTTAGAATAAGTATTCTTTTCCATACATTCTCAGTGCTTTAATTGCACCTTATATATTACTTCTCTACTATCTCTATATTCTGTGCTCGGCTCATGCTGATGTGAGTCAGCCTATGTGATACAGTTACCAGATAATGGATTACAGTCGTGTCGCATCTTACGCAGGGAATCTCTTAAATCACCCATAAAGTGCATGGTTATATAATGGTTGCCCCTCGTGTAACGAGGATGGCCGGCCCAAGGGCCACCTAGGCATGAATTTGTTTAAGGTGTAGAAGTTGTCGCCAACATAACAACCACACTCTGAGTTAACTAGCTGCATGACCCGGTGTCAAGGAATAGTCCGAGAAAACCGGACAACTCGCCAACTGCACTGGCTAACCATTATTACAGAATATGTTCCGCAAATCGATTATCATCCAGGTCCCCAATTACTGCTGGGTAGACAGAGGTTAATGACGTAAAGAAACTGGCCCATAGTTTCACCCTGCCCGGAGATCGAACCCGGGTCCGCTCGCTTGCGAGGCGAGCATGCTGACCATTACACCACAGGTAGCCATACATGGTTAAATATACCTGTACTGTAATGTGGTGTAGAATTAAAGAAAATATATTATAAAACTATAAAATAATAAAAATGAAGAGCATGGGTGTGTGTGTGTTTGTTGGGGTGATCAGGTGGGGAGGTGAGAGAAGAGGATCAAGTGGGAAGGTGAGAACCGGGTACGGAGAGGAGATGGAAGAAAAATGGGGAGAAACAAGGGGAGAGCATAATTGTGGAAGCATTGAGAAAGTTTGTCAATAGCGCATCTGGCAACACGGCTGGTAAGGCTTATTTCAGTTTAAATGCGCTCCACACATTCTTCTCTGCTGGAAGTTTAATTTATGGTACTGCCGTTTGTGTGTGTTTTCCTCCTGCATCCATAATTTTCTTAAAGCAATATATACAGTATCAGTAAATGTGAGGAATAAACAAAAATATTACCAATAAATAAATTTAACACAAGTCGCCATCTACACTTCCTGTTTACCACAGCAAATGTGACGCAACCTCCGCCGATTCCCTAGCAATGCTCCCCCCACGACCAACCACCCAGCCATCCTCCCGCTCCCCCAATAAGCCAGCTAACTCGTGTGCAAAGAAATGTATACAGTATTCCTTTTTTTTTTCTTTTTTTTTTTTTTACACGGGGATTAGCCCACCTGGGCACAGGTCACTGACACACATTGGGGCCTGGGGGCAAAAATGTAATAATAATAATAATAATAATTCATTGTAAATAAAATTTAAAATAAATAATACAAAATTGAAAATAATAATAATAAAGAGCCATGAAGAAATACAAAAATTAAAAAAAAAGATCAAAAGTGAGAAACAATATACTGTATGTATGTTGTGTTGTCAATAGTAAGAGAAACAATTGAGACCCTGCAATTGTGTAAATGAGGCAGAAAGTCAGATCAGCAACCTAGAACTTGGTTACAATTTTCGTGATGCCATATGGCAGCAGGGTCTATTATTAGACAATACAATACATTATGCTTCCAATATCTTCCCAGGAGGTAGTACATCCCTGTATGGTAGCTGCTTACTACCTTGCTGTTTTCCCTTAGGACAATTATTTCTTTTAATTTTTTTCACAATACATGTATGTAGGATGGTGTGTGCATGTATATCAGTAAAAATAAATGAAGAAAGTTACGTATATCTTCCCAAAAATATGAATTAAAAAACAACAGCTTCTCCTAGTGGCCTGGTAACAGAGACGAGTCTAACCTGGCTATAATGCCGCCAGCGATGTTAACAGATGTATACCGTATGTGAAAAGAAGGTTATCCGTAAATCTTAATTTGTATCAGGTATCTGTAGATTGAAATATAAATGTTGCAGGTATGGTATTACTAGATTGTAATGCTTGTAAGAGCTCAGAAATGATTACCGTTTAGTTACCTCTGAAGAGTTGGGTGTCTGCTGTATGAACGTTAATAGCCTGAGGTTATCGTCATCAGTACAGTACAATATAGTTATAGATCGACCTCTTATATTTACAATAATTATTTTTTAATTAGTTAAAAATAATGTGTGTTTAAGAAAGAAATAACATATTTTTAATTCTGGAGTTGGGTTAGGTAGAATTTAACCTACTGGAGACAGCAAGGGGGATTCATTAGCTTACGGGAGACGCAACTTCACATTTAGGACGCTGGCTGATTTTCTAGCCTTTTTTTTTCAGACAAAAAAGTGTGTCTTATATGCTGTAAAATGCAGTAGTTTCTCTTGTGCTGGGCAACTTGATGTGATAAGGCATAATAAGAGTGGTGATGGACCAGCAAAGAGTGGTAGAGACTTGAGGTTGCTACCTTAGACCGCCTCTACCATCCTCAACACAGGTAAATAAGTTTCAATTTATGCTTTACATTGCTTTATTTAAGGCTTATATGCTGCTTTATATGATTGATTATTTTATTGCTTGACAGTGTGCATTACAGAGACATATCAAGGGTAAATGGGAGTTTTGGGAGGGTGGTTGGTCCCTATCCCCCTGAATTTGTTATGTTCTTAAGGGATTAATTGCTTCGATAACCGTTGATTCACTAACCAATGATTTTTCCCGGCCCCTACTGTATATGTGTCAGTTATCGGGGTATGCCTGTATTTATACAAATATACTCTTAGTGAAAATACTAAGACAAAATTTTTTGTTTCAGAGACTGGTGATGACACATCTCTAGATCAAGTGCAACACAAAGCAGAAATTAACCATGTCAAGCCCCAAAGAAAAAAACCTCCCTTGTAGGGATTGTGGAAAACTGTTTGCCTTTAAGAGTGACCTCCAGAAGCACATGCTGGTGCACAATGGTATCAAAGAGTTTAGATGTGAGGAGTGTGGCAAACAATTTTCTCAGAAGGGTCATCTGAAAGCACATTCAGCTGTGCACACTGGTGAGAAATTGTACGGGTGTCTTGATTGTGGAAAACGTTTTAAATTTAATAGTTCTCTGAGAAGGCATTCACTTGGCCACTGTTGTGCAAAGCCATTTGAATGTGAGATATGCGGGAAAAAAATTTCACAAGAAAGTACACTTGGAGTTGATTTGTTTGTGCACAGGTCTCACTCTTTTAAGTGTGTTGAATGTGAGAAAAATTTAGTTGATGAGGAAAGTTTCACTCAAAATTTATATGAGCCCAGTAATATAGAACTGTTCACTTGTCCTGAATGTAAAACAGATTTTCCTTCTGATCAATCTCTTAGAAAGCATCTACTTGTTCACAGTGACATAAAACAAATTGAGTGTGAACAGTGTGGGAAAAAGTTTGTGCATGAATGTTCTCACAGAGAACATATGCTTGCACACCCTGTGCTCAAAGAATTTGAGTGTGAGGAATGTGGGAAACATTTTTCATGCAGGTCAACTCTCAAGCTTCACTTACTTGTGCACAGTCGTGTCAGAAATTTCAGATGTGAAGTATGTGAAAAGCATTTTCTGACAAAAGGTCATCTTGCTACACACATGCTGGTGCACAGTGGCATAAAAAAGTTTGAATGCACTGAATGTGGGAAACATTTCTCACAAAAAAGTCATCTTACAGGTCATTTGGTCACACACAGGGGCACCTCAACCACTGGATGTTACATATGTGGGAAGCTAATGCTACATAAACGTAATCTTGGCAGGCACTTGCGTACATGTTTGAAAAAGAATCAGATATGTTGAATGTAAGAAACTATATCAGAGACAGGAAAACAATCTGACATATCCTTGTGGAACATACAACCCCAGGTTGTACACAGGTTGTACAGTATTAATATTTAGTGGAATAATAAATCAGGATCATAAGGGTGTTCATTGACATTGTACAAGTACACTAGTTGGATTTTGGAAGTGGCTATAATAACTGAGGCTATATCATGCCACAAGGGCCTTCAAGGGGTAGTTGACATTGAATCTCCTTTCTTAAACCCCAATAAAGCAACACATACACACATCAAAAATTATGTAAACCTTCAATAGTGAACTAGATCTTAGGTTTAAATTTACAAGTACAGTACTGTTCAGTACCAAGAACTAATATAATTCATATAGATTTATATTTTGGTCACCTAAATAGACTGAAATGGGATTGAAAAATTTAGGTTGTTCAACATGTACTGTACTGACCAGAAAGAATGTACTGCCTCAGCCATTACTGTGTCAAGCATATGGGTACCTGAAAATTTGTGCTCCTTCACAAAATTACATTGAGCTTGTTGCAACATCCTACATCAATGCATGTGGACTTGTACTATATTATATATGAGTGCATGCAGTTTGTTGTCAAGGTGCAACACGTGACACATTTGACCTCTATTCTGCCACCACAGGTATTTGTAAAAAGCATTACAGAAAATTATGGCTTTTCAACGTAGTTTGTATTTAATTAATATTTATGTTCATAATTTGTCCTTACAAAAGGTGACTTCATACAAGTTAAGGTAAATCTTGACTGTGAGGAATTGTTTTATAAGGTAAAGCAAGTTGAACAATGAGTAACATGGTGTCACCCTTTAAGAAATTTAAAATTTTGTTAAGTTGTTTGCCATGGCTGAATTTTGTAAGGTATTCTGGTATCTTCTGTTGAGGCTATGATCATTAATTTGTCTAAGATCTTTAAAGACAATACTGTGTCCTAACTCACTCACTTATTTCTCCCCAGACACAGCTCCTGATCAATTCTTGGTTATCCATGTTAAGTTTCCAATGAACAAAAGGTTTTCTAACTTGCTTGATCTTAGACAGAAAATATAACTTATTTTGTTTGGTTTCTTTATGCTCTGATAGAGGAATGTGGATATCTTAGAGGTAGTAGGGTGTTGGTGGTACAGCAGTAATGCGCATATCTCTCACCACTGTGTCATGGTTCGAGTCCTGCGTGGCCTGGACACACGTGAGAATGGTGTTATCCAGTGTGAACCTACCAAACATCATAGGTTTCTTCCGGGTACTCCGGTTTCATCCTGTACTAACTCTGGACAAATAGAGTTCATAACAAAGTAACAAAGAACGGGCCAACTGCCTGAACAGCTTGTAAGCTGATAAGTGGTGAAGTGATAAAACTGTAGTAATATGTTGGGTGACCTTTCTTAGACCTAGAAGAAGACCTATCTGAAAGTTCTCAGACATGAAAAAGTAGCCAAAAGATCATTTAGGTATTTAGAGTTAAAAAGTGATATCTGTGTTCTCTTAAAGTTTACTTACATCCTGTCAGTAACTACTTGTGAATGTAATTGTAGTTTAATAAGATGGTTAACAACTACTGTATTTTAGTTCATGAGATGTTGTCTTCTTCAACCCTTTGTGTGTCCAGGACTCACGATGTGTTTCCACTCACTTTATGAAACTACATTCAAGAACCAGAGTTATGTACAGAGGACCACTGATGCCCCACATGTGCCATGCCATCCACCACTCTAAATGATTTGTAACCTTGGTGAGATGGCATGCATAGATCGGGGTCAAAACAAATTTTATCTATCACATTGACAGTACAGTAATCCCTCGCCAATTGCAGGTTTACCATTCACGGTTTTAAGTATCCACCGTTTTACCAACCTCGGTGACAAATTTTAATTATCTGCGGGTTTCCACAGCCACATAAGAGATTTCTAGCCCTGCGTGGCGGGAATGCTACCCTCATCCCGTAAACATCCCTGTGGTGTTGCTCTCCACTAATTGGAAATTACTCTACATTGTTAAATTTATTGCCCTGAAATATGGCCTTAAAGCACTAATGTATTTTCATTGGAATAGAATGTGGAATTGTTTGATCATCGTGTGTGTGGTGAAAGTGTAGTGTCCATCAGCAGGCATTTTTTTATTGGTGGGTCAACTGTGAGAACTATTAAGAAAAGTGAAGATGCCATTGGGCAAGTGTGAAGGGAAAAGCACCAGAGTGCAAAAGTGACTTGAACAGTATGCCTTGTGATCCTTGCCTAGAAAGAACAGAGAAAGATTTCTTTTTGACTCAAGGATATGACTCAAGAAAATGAGTCGCATTTGCAACAATACGGTGGAGACATTAAGCAGTGCAGCAGGGACTTCACGAGCTACCACCAGCTTCCTTGATATACTTCATGAGTTACCACCAGCTTCCTTGATAACAAAGGGTGGTTTGGAAACTTCAGAAAAAGAATCAACATGCACAACATAAAAACCTTGGGTGAGTCAGCATTGGCACGCCACGTGGCCACGACAACCTACCTGATGTGCTGAAGAAGCTTATTTTTATACAGTATGATAAATGTTTTTTTTTAAGGATAGCGTACTTCCTGTACTTATTTTTAACCTTGATCTGTACAGTACATTATAGGACTTTAGGTATGTCTCTCAGGGGTCATTTCCCCAAACCCTTATTTCCCATTAGACACCGCCCTTGCCAACCACAGTTTGTCAACTGCGGGAGAATTCTAGAACATTGGCAAGGGATTACTGTATTCTCCCGTCCACTGTATTTTTTACTTTTAATGGAAGTCCTTCACTTATTATTGGGCATCTGCAAAGTGGTAGTATCAGACATAAGGGTAGACAACCCAGAATGTAATGTCCCATGTTACCTCATGGAACATAAAATGGATCTTGGATATACAGTACAGTATAGTTTTTTTATTGCTATAGTTTATTATGCTTCTCTTGTTCTGCACTTTGTGTATTACAAGAAGTTATAGGTATATTATTCAAGTACAATATGGCTGTTTGTTGTGGAATATAATGCAGCTCTGGCAAGCACTGTAAGACCTCCTATGCTGCCACAGTTATAACCAAGTTATTTTTGGCATGTCTCAATTGGTCCAGAATCACTTTTGTCAAGTCACATTCTCCTTATGCCAGGTCTTAAGAAAAATTGCAAGATACATTGGTTCATGCATCTGGTGAGAAAATAAAACTGTTACGCTTCAAGGTACATTATATGAAAAAATTTAAGTACAGTAGAATGTCGATATAACGTGAGATACGTTCCAGGAGAGGTCGCTTTACATCGAATTCGCACTAAACCAAAGTGTTGTTTCAATGGAATAATATAGTTTGGTACTTGAGAGAAACACATAATACTAAAAAGACTTTTATTAGCTAATAAATATGAGAAAAATATATGGCGTAATGATATATATGCAGCAAGCACTTCCTGCAGTCGAGTTGAGAGCTGGACGGTACTGTTACTGCGAGGTACTGTACTGTACTGTCTGCTGCCTCGCGTCACTGGCCCTCACCCTGCACTTTCACTTTCAACTTAGTTTTTCATTACTTTATGCTATCAAAAATAGATATTCACCCACCTTTAGTTTGGTAAGTCATCCTCTGAAGATGCAGAGCCCAACACGGCCAGCTCATCATCCACATCACTGTCTGGTGGTGTGGCTGTGGAGGCACCTGACACGGAAACACTGGATGATGGTCTTGTCTGCCCAGACATTGATGGGCCAGTTAATGATGTAGTGGCGATGGTTGATGCACGTGGTGGAAGGAGATAGTGTCACACAATATGTCCGTTCATTAGAGCGTCAGCGCGAGAACTGAGGGTGTCGGAGGGTGGCGGGCAGCCTTGTAGCTGCCCAGAGAGGTGTCTGGCGGGAAACATTAGGTGTGAAACATAAAATATTGTGTATTTCCATATGACGCTCCAGATTTGATTCGCGTCAAATGGGAAAAATTCGCTTTAAATTGATACGTTGTCATTAATTGTGGGTGTCGCTTCAAATCAATAATTTTAAATCGATTCACGTTAAATTGACGTTCTACTGTAGCTGCATTTCTTCATTTTGTGGTGACTCAGATGGTAGTAAACAGGTATTTATCAAAGAAAATGTTCAAATGTTTCTTCAACTCACATCATCAAATTTAGTATATTACTGTAAAGCAAAAAGAGAGAGAGAGAGAGAATGTGGACTATCATAAAGTGGCATTGGTCAAGTTGACAACACCAAGTCCCGGGCCACTTTACCCATTTTATATATAGTTAGGTTTCTTTTCTCCAGGTCATGTCATTGTTGATATATAATTTACTCTGGAGTCACTGTAAGTTTAATGTGATTAAGACTTAAGGCTAATATGATCTATGTTTAATTGTATGGTATTCTCTAATGTGTCCCCACACTTTTGTCTGTCTGTATGTTTGTATTGGTTAACTGTTCTCGTATTTTTCATTTGGGTGGGCAAACACATTATAGGATTTTATTATTATTATTATTATTATTATTATTATTATTATTATTATTATATGATGATTTTTTTCATAGATGCTTTTTTCTGTTATGATGCAAAATGTTCTGGCAGGTAATTTATACCCTGTTTCTTAGCACTGAGCAGCTAGTGGGTTACTCTACCCCTTGGCAGCATGATAGTCCACTCAAGGATTTTTCCACCATTGACAAGTGTATGCAGTATGTATTTGTTTTACTAACTGCATGTGCAAGGGCTAATAGACAGGGTTTTTCATAAGTCGCACTCAATAGGAATCATAACAAATTAAAGAAGATGGCAGAGAATTTGACACTAGAGAAAAGAGTCGGTTTAATATTCATGTACCGAGAGCCTGATGCTACACACTGATCAGTTGTAAAAGAATATAATTGATAACATCTAAAATATTTTGTCGACCAATATCATCCAAGAACCACTGAAAATTTAAGGCAGAATATCACAGCTGAATGTAACAAGATTACCAAAGATATACTGATGAGAGTGGAGGCATCTTGTTCACTTAGAATCAATGTGTGTATTGAAGTAGATGGTGAAGCATTGGAAAATTTACTAGTATACAGTAGTAATGTACAGTGTATTTTCCCTATGTTGTGCGACTTATGAGACGCCATGCACAAGAGAGGAGCTCCATCCTCCAATTCAATTGGGAATCAACTCAGGAGCCTCCTCTTTCAAGGCAAATGCTCTACCACTGAGCTACAGATTTATAGAAATATTGTTATCATTAGTAGTAACCATAGCAGCAGCAGTACTAATAATAGTAGTACAGTAATATTACAGTAGTAGCAGTAGTAGTACAGTAGACCATCAATATAGTGTGATTCTATACTGAGCTTTAAGTAGTTTGCATTCTCCTAAATTATTCCTATTTTTCATAATTGCACAGGAAAACTCCATCATTGCACAGTTTAAGCCCAGAAAATTTAATTACAGTACAGTAAATGGACCACAATGATCATCACCTGAGACACATTTACAGGGTAATTTATATTGTGATGGAAAATTTCCTTATACAGGTATCCCTCGTTTAAGGGGAGTGTCCGGCTGAATTACGAAATAAGTATCCTGTCAGCAATTAAGGACACCAGATGCATAGTTGCTATACCCCTGAATCGGTTCTGCTTAATCCTTGATACCTGATTTTTCCCTTATATTCTTATCAATTTTCAAAATCCTACTTCTCGTAACTTCTCACTAGATTATTCTGAAATTTATGTGGAGTACTGTATAGGTAATTTATTCCTCTTAAATGTGACATATAGATATTTCTGATTATCACTTTTTTGGGTGCATAAACTTTTTTCCTAACTTACCATTTTTTCCTTCAAATATTTATAAAGATAAATCAGCAAATAATAAACCAAGCCAAATATAAAGAAAATCTATAAGTTCAGCCATGCCTAATATTCTTCTACATAGTTTTTGTTTTATTAGAATTGGCCATAAATGGCTGAGCCTTAGGTAGTTGCTCGAGAGCAACTCGCAATTGTACCTCACTCTCACATGTTTGATGGGTAACTGACTCTCGTTCTGTTGCTAGCAAACTGAGAAAAGTGCCAGATACTGATTTTTACCAAGTGCTTGGTATTACTTTACACCAAAATATTATTATAAATATTTTTCTACAGCCTTTACTTCATAAACAGAAGGGCCCTCTAAATGAACGGGGGTAGAACAATCATGCATAGCTACATAATTATTATGAATTACGCAATCAAAATACGTCAGCAGAAAGCCATAGGCAACAGCTTTCCTCAGGAATTTTTCTGAATATTTTTCGTATTTTTCCGATTTTCATCGTATTTTCAGCCAGAACTCCCCTTATCGATGGGGCTGTGTTCCAAAAAAAAACCTAACGTTAAGGGAAGTTATTGGTAAATGAAGGATGACAACAAAGCACGGAGGGCAGAGAACAGGATCAAATAGCAAAGCAGTAAACACCGTGCCCCCTAATAATAATAATAAATTAGTTTTTTATAAACAGTTTTGAAGGTAAACACTTTATTTATTGACACCAAACTTCTATACAATATAAACAATATGGTTTGGTGTTAAAACAATTTAGTGAGTGAAAGGTGAGCCTAATTCAATCAGATTTAGATTTGTAAGTCAAAAGTGAAAGGAAAAAGCTATGATAAACAATATGATTGATACCTAGCATATCATAAAATAAAATAGCACTTTTTTTGTTTACAAAAAATAGATCCTTCCATACTCAAACCTTGCTCTGGGCAATGTGATGCAGTTCAGTCAAGCAGTCACCCATCTGACTCCAAGAGTGTATGTGTGTGTGTGTGTAATAATAATAATAATAATAATTAACGGTTTATTGAAAAAGTTCTGCAGCCCGAAGGCTGAAAATATACGTTGGACATAAATGACTTATTACATACATTGGTGGTTTAACAAAAGCCTTCATTAGAGAAAGGTAAAGGAACATACAGTGTGTGCGTGTGTTGTGACATGACATCAGTGTTGGAGTGCGGCTAGCTGGAGGGTTCGGCGACACAGTTACAGCCTATGCCTTCACACAAACGTTTGCTCCACACATATACACATCCATTCAATTCATTTTTCATATTTTATAGTTTTATTGTATATTTTTTTTATTTCTAAGCTACATTAGATTATTGTATTGTTTTGATTTTTCCACAACTTTTATAGTTTTGTTACATGTAGCAATGGCAACATGCCATCTCACAGGCCACCTCTTCCCAGTTTTCACCTTCCCAGTGAGTCAAGCAATCTCTATTAAACAGAATTTTGACCTAACGTTAAGTAAGAAAGGTTGTCCTTTTTTTTTATCACTAAACCAAATTAATGTTAAGTGATTAATGCTAATGAGGGATACCTGTACAGGTATCCCATGTTCATGAACAAAAAAAAACTTATCTAACTAATGATAAACAGTACACAACTACTGTAATTTACTGTCAAACATATTAAAAACATTAATAAAGTACTATTTAGATGAAAATATACAACTAAAACCATTGAGGAAAAGCTATATGAAGGTTTAATACAACCGTCATTTTTGTATAGATGGTGGCTGTGTGGCCTCAAGCCTTGCCGTAGCAATGTAGCCCGGCTGGGGATGCTGTCTCTGCTGACCCTTAGCAACACTTCTTCTGCCACATACAAAGAAATGCTTATTCCCTTTGTTCTTGACCTAATGATAGTTATGTCTCTTACTTTTTTAACATTATATATGTAGGATTGTGTGTTCATGTAACTGAGTACTATATAAAAGTGAAGAAAGTTAAGTTTTTTACCTGAAATTACGAGTTGAAAAAGAACTTTTACACAGATCCTCCCAGCTCATCCTGCTACAACTCTTGGTGGTGCATGGAGAAATGTTTATTCCCCTTATGTTTTTTATCTTTTGGTATACAGTATATATATATATATATATATATATATATATATATATATATATATATATATATATATATATATATATATATATATATATATATATATATATATATATATATATATATATATATATATATATATATATATATATATATATATATATATATATATATATATATATATATAAATATATATATTCTGTATGTAGGATTGTGTGTGTATGTAACGGAATAAAAAAACAAATGAAGAAAGTTATGTTTATCTATCCAAAATTATGAGTTGAAAAATAGCTATAACATAACTCACACCTCGACCTGGTAGGGAGAGAGTTTGAGGGATGTGGCCACTCCTGCGGGTGCGTGATTTGAATTTTCACCAGGACCCAAATTCATAATAGCAGGGAAAACTTTCGTAAAAAAAAAGGGGTGGTAATTTAGGAAATGCTTATGAGTGAATTTTTGTATTGATAGTTTGTATAGCGAGGGATACCTGTACCATGTATTACTATGAGCAAAAAGAGAAATACCTGTAGATGGAAAACTGATGCTGCCACATATGGTGGTTTTAAGAAGAAAGGATATACAGGAGGTAATATTACTTTTGATGAGAAATTAAGATAACGAATAGGCTACATTACCGATCACGGCAAAAAATAACCTGACACGCTGTTTTGGTCTATATTGTCAATCCATTGTTTATGTAATAGAAGCAATGATATAATAGTATTTACTGTATTATCAATCACATATTACTAATTAAGTTATCCTAAGCAACCAAACCTATCTAACTTCTTAACCAGGGGATCTGCCTCCCGGCACATTAAATATCTTAGTTCTTGGTCGTTTGCGAGGGAAATGTCATAGATGAAAAGTGTCTCAGAATTCTTGAAGCTATTGATTAAAAAGATAAAATTCCTGAGAGTTGGTTAGTGGCAACAAATGCAATAGTACCTTTTCTAGTAATTTCCTGAATTTCAACTCCCAATATCTCGGTTATGGGTAAAATGCAAGAATGATGTCATAGAAGAAATTTGTCTTGGTTTTGTCTGAAATGATCATTACAAACACAAATAACTTAACTACTGTATCCAATTTTGTCCTCTACTATAAACTGACCCACACTCAGCCTCACCTGCTCTTGAGTTGTACTGGGTGGTGGGTCGGTTACACAATTACTGTATCAGCCATCTCCATGAATATTATATCTTGTTATTTCTCATTTACAATTTTATATAAAAAAAAAGTGTGCATATATATCATGTCATAATTTTATTTGCATAATACAATACTATTATATCATTACTTCTATTACATAAACAGTGGACTGGCAAAATAACCCAAAACAGCCTGTCAGACTATTTTGCCGTGACCGGTCATTTAGCCACATGAGAGCTCACTAGTGCTGAGGGGGATCATTCAAGAGGTAAAGGTATCAAATGTTATTTGTTAGAAATCAAATGAAAATAATGTGAAGAATATGTCATTTATGCTGCTATCGTTCCATGACTTCCATATTTCTAATGTAATTAGTTGGGGTTATTTTTATGATTTTTTTTTCTCTCAGAAATGGTAATGTTCTTAGCTTAAAGATACATATAACTTTGAACTTGTTTATTTATTTCTTGTACAAAACATATTTATTGAAAAATATAAGTGTCAAAACTATAAAATAATAAGACAATTGGAGGTTTACTTTGAAAATAGCCTTTGAGATTCTTTTAAACAAAACAAAATAAAATGGGATGAAAAATATGAAAGATAAAAGTAAAAGTATAAATGTCAGAAATTATATTAAACTTGAGCTTTGGGGTTTAGTGATAGCAACAGCTCATCCCCTTTTGAAGACACCCGAACACATCCATATTACATATGGACTAAACGTGGTGGCACATTGTGCACTTTCCTCCAAACATGTCACCCGTTTTGCTGGCCATTGGCCAAAACGCCCAACAAGTAGCAGGATTTTGGCTGTTGCTAGGAATGGACAACGGTTTGGCGTGGATCTCTGCTAGCCGGATTAGTGCTCAAATGAGCTTCATATAATTTCAAGTAAAAATTGAAATAAATCATGAAACAATGATCATTTAAAACATTTACAACCGGTGACATATTTCTATTTATTCGTCACTTTAAAACTTCTTTAGAACAGTATTATTAAATCTTTATTCAGAGTCTTCTTTGACCAGCCAGCCCCTGCCACTTTTTAAAGAAACTTTCATTACACACCCATTTGTCTTTTCTTTAGCCTTTGCAGATGCCTCACTTGCTTTAGCAATTGGAGAACTATAGCACAATCCTGCAAGACCTCAACTGTAGTTATGGGATCCATGGCTAACCTCAACTAGATGCTTTGTTGTTGTTTTCGTTGCATTGGGTAGATGCACCAACAAAACATCCCGGTTTGACGCAAAACGTCTCTTTGTTTTGCTAGCTGGGCCGTGTTTGCTAAACATGTTTGAAGGAAAGTGCCCAGTGTTATGCCGCCTTAATGCTCCTTGCTATTGATGGGCTGGCTGGCTGTGTTGCATACTGTTGGTAAGTGCTGGGCATGTACAGTAGCTAAAACAACTATTTGTGCATATGTACTTTGTGGGAACAATATGAGAACATGGACTATTAATTTTGGTATATGAGGGCTGTCACTAGTCGCACGTAAAATTTCAGAGCATATCGACCCCCACCTGCACAGATAGTTGTTTTAGCTACTGTACAGGCTCTAGACTGTAACAGAACATGTGCAAATTCACATCTCTTGCTGTCACAACATTTTCTGGCAAGTTATTACTACAGTTCACAGCTCGTTCTGTTATAATTTTCTCTGGCAAGTTATTACAACAGTTCACAACTCTTATTGTTATAACAGTATCTGGGGTTTATTACAAGAGTTAACAACTTTTACTGTTACATTTACTTGTTCACAACTCTTACTGTCACAACACTCACAGGATCACAACTCATAAGGTGGCATTACACTAGCATTTCTATTGTTAACTTTTTCATTACTGTCGACTTTTTTCACGAATTGTCGGCTTTGTCGCTGGCTGTTGTCAAACGGTACAGACCGTCTGCACTGACAACTGATACGACAACTTACCAGAGTCAATCAAGATCTATAATTGATACTACAAATAGTTATAAAAATTAACTAATTTCTACTTAAAATATAAAGCTAAAATTATTATGAAGTAATTATGACTCTTCTTCCCAACATTACTCTTTACAGGTATAATGTTTAATTTCGTGATTTTAAAAGGATAAGAAAATATTGTTTGTTGTTTACATTTTGACCCTGCGGAATAACAACAACATGACGGAGCCAACAGATAAAATCATTTCCCAAGTATGGACACGCCTCTCCGAGGAGTTCTTGGTGGACCAGATAAGGCAGTGCATCTGTCTCTGGGATCACTAGGACTCTTCATACACCAAAAAAGGCGTAGAATTACTGCGCTTTCCTCATCAGTTGGATCCATCTTGTTTGTTGACAGTTGTCGAACGAGGGAAACTGGCAAGTTGGTGCTAAACGCGTGTGTGACGGTGTACAGCAAAAAGTTTGAAGATTTTCTGAAAGTTAAAAAAAATCAACGAAAGAATGCCAGTGTGACACTGCCTTTACTGTCACAACATTCTCTAGTAAGTTATTACAACAGTTCATAACTCTTACTGTCGCAACATTCTTTGGTAGATTATTACTACAGTTCACAATAATCACTGGTTCACAGCTCTTACTCCAACGAAGTTGACGCTAATAATTTCCTTTACTTGTGGCTACTTTAACTTGAAGTTGTGATCTTTAGTATAAGATCATTAAATAAGTTTCTCTTGCCCTTAATAGATGGCAGCACGGGCATGTCGTCTGCCAGCACTGACCAGCAGCATCTACGCAGATCACGCATGATTCACGACACCCCAAGTTCTATTGGTCCATCACTCAACTTGAGTCTAAATGACTGTTGTCCAGGAAGCAGTTGTTGTGACTCAAGGCGAGTTATAATTTGTTCAAGATTTTTTTCTTGAAGTGTTGTCTCAAAGGAATTTTTTGGTGTATTTGTTGGGGCTGTGGTCCATACCCTACTGTATACTGTACAGATATATTTCTTAGTGAAATAGATAGAATTATATACTGTATTGTGATTCTACAGTACTGTATATTTTGTGACCATTTTTTATCCCATTCTCGTGTTATGTCGAAGGTCTACTGTACGTACAGGTACAGTATTAGTATTTTATTTCTATTTCATTAGATGCATCAGTCAGCTTTATAGATGCCAATCCTAATTGACTTAATCCTTTACTGAGAACATTTTGCCTGGCCCACATTGTCTCACCCAACCTGACCAGCTGCAGTGACTTAGCATAAGACCAGTTGTTGGTCATCCTTATTAATATAGTATTTCTGTTAGTGTTTGATAACTTGTATGTATTTCTGTTAGTGTTTGATAACTTGTATGTGTTTCTGTTAGTGTTTGATAACTTGTATGTATCCATAAATGTAGCTCAATAAATTACTTAATTATTGCCTTGGAGTTTTTCTCTGAATTACCAGAATGCAGTTTCCTATTGT